TCAGGCCCAGGAGAACATCCAAAAACTGTTGTGAAATTACCTTCCTAATCCAAACTGCTGATAAGAGTTCGCCTGCAGTAAAGTATCACTTAGTGTTGATTGTTGAGAAGATTGGAAATGGATTTTATTTTTTTTTTTAAGTATAAAATAATCCCTGCACATTTGAAGCCCTCCACAGACTGGGGGTCTGTTGTTGGGGGGGGGCAAATGATGACGACGCCCAGCGTATGTCAATTCATTTAAATGAAGTCTGCCCCCTATAGGAGTGTTGAAGAAGGCTCAGGTCAGAGCACAGATCAGGGTCAGGTTCTTAACAGAGACGACTCTGATCGGAGTCGGTGCGGTGGCGGCACGGTGGCGGCCTGATAACACAGGCCCGGGTCGGCGGCGCTCTGATGACATCACTTCCGAATCCCGAGTCATCTACCAACACTACTCTATGTGTGTGTGTGTGTGTGTCCTTCTAGAAAGAGCATCTGATATTGAAAGCGTTTTATTAACACTCGGAAAAAAACGCCCCCTAGAGGAGATTTCAGTCCCAGGAGCCTCGGTTCTCACAGGTAGATGTAATCAGGCTAGGTCTACCATGGTATCTACAAGTGTGTGTGTGTGTGTGTGTGTGTGCGTGCGCCCTAACTCTACACAGGTGTGAAAGTGTGAAACAGTAGCGACTTGAGCGTCAGAGCAGCAGGTTCTAATAATAGACACCGACAGAGAAACAACATCATAAACACATGCTAACAAATCAAAAAGACGGGACGTGCTAAAACACCAAGCTGCTCCGCTCCCGTCTCTCACAGCCTCTAACGAGCTACAAAAGTCTCACCCGACCCCCCCCTCTCTTTCCCCCCTTCATCTTCTTCATCTTCGTCATCTTCTTCATCTTCTTCATCTTCTTCATCTTCCTGCTTCTTTTTCTTGTTAGCTTCTTCTCTCAGCTTCTCATTCTGCTGCTGTCACTGCAGCTTCACACGGTGACTGACAGGTGTCAGCGTCAGGGTTCCCCTTCAGGGCAAAGGTGCACGTGCACGTGTGTGTGTGTGTGTGTGCGCGAGTGGCAGAGGTGACACAGGAATAGTAAACTGGAGGAAGTAGAACTTCAGGACGGCGTTTGGTCTGACGGCGAGTTATTGACATCACAGTACATCACAGTACATCA